TAGCTTATGGAATTGTTTCCAGAAGCGAGTAGGGTTGTATTATACCCTTCAAATTCCTGTAGTAAGTTACTGTTACTACTCTTAGAAAAGGAAAAGGAGCATTGAGAGAAGGTTGGTCTAAGAGAGTCTGGTGTCCCATTGTAGACCGCTCTGCGACTATTAGTCATGGCTATTTGACTGTTTTAGGGAAGAGATGGTTGAACCTATACAGCTTTCAGATTCAAGCTTGGTTTGCAATTAACTTCTCTATTGTGTAAAGCACCAGGTGTTTATTTTGACAATTTGAAAATTCTGACATATTTACTCAATATATAATGCATTTACTACCTTTGGAGTTTGAAGACCTGGGACATTCCTAGCTGTGAATGTCCTAGACAACTAACCTCTTTATACTTTAGTTTCTTCATTTATAAAATAGGGATAATAATTTATTCAGAGGTATCAGATGAGATAATGGATGTAAGAGGTCATTGTAACTGTTTAATAAGTATGAGAAAAGTTATTCTCTCTGGCAAAGGAAAAGGGGGTCGTACTGTGATCAGTGCTGCATGCAGGAGGAAGAGAGGGAGGGAGGAAGCACTAGTTTAAAGTGCATCCTTTGACTCTGGAATACTTTATGGTAAGGAAATCTCTCAGGGTGTGTGAACTGTCAGTGCACTGAGTTCAGAAATTCATTTTGTAGTATATGATGTTGCTCATTTTGTAGTATATGATGTTGCTAGATGTTTTTTCAGGTATACATTTAAAAAAGAATCTAATCTTGAGTCAAATCTATGCCTTAAAAAAATTCCATTGTTGCAGAAACCGGTTTGGTTCAGTGGATAGAGCGTTGGCCTCGGGACTGAAAGGTCCCAGGTTTGATTCCGATCAAGGGCATGTACCTTGGTTGTGGGCACATCCCCAGTGAGAGATGTGCAGGAGGCAGCTGATCAATGTTTCTCTCTCTCTCATAGAGAGTTTCTAACTCTCCCTCTCCCTTCCTCTCTGTAAAAAATCAATAAAATATATATTTTTAAAAAATCCATTGTTAAAGATT